TAGTTGCTTAGGCAACATAATAACATCAATTAAATCCAGACTACTTGATTATTTTTAGTTGACTTTCTGCTAATAACGTATTCATTTATCAAAATCTATCTGTTTGTATAATTATATATAAAATTAGAATGGTTTTCAAGCTTTTTGAAAACCTTTCTTTTCATCAGAGTAGGATATTAAACAACATGAAAAACTTTTTTTTAATAAAAAGTTCGCATAAACCTTTAAAGAAACAAACCCCAAACAACAAAGATTAAATTGATTGAATAACAAAATCATTTTAAGTTTTCGTTTTCTAATTCTGAAAATTTTTCATATATGTACCCTCAGTCTTAATAATAAAATAGTTTTTAAAAATATTACTTAATCATTTAGAATTGCTTCAAGTCATGTATTAAATATATACATATATTCGTTATAGGGAATTTACAAAATATAGAAATTATTAATAACTTTATTGAATATTATAGTAATAGTAATACTTTTATTACTACTGTTTGTATTATGTATTGTAAAAAAGACCATCTTTACTTTTATAACAAGTAATAAATTAGAATTAAGTCGAATGATTTTAGGTGTATTTTAAATTATAATATATATAATTACTAAATTAATATAATTTCCGAAAATTATAATGTTAAAAGTGTTTTTATATTGATTTCTAAAATCATTTTCATATTTTTAATAATAAAATAGACGAAAAACAGTATAATAAACTTGAAAGGAATTGACATTAAAACACTTATAATGGCAATTTATATTCCCAAAAACGTATTGTAAATACTTTGGATATGTGTAACACATAATTTTAAAAATAATTTTTATAATTTGGCTCCTCTTATTGTTAGATGATAACAACTAGACTTTCCTTAAATTTTCGCTAGTATTATTTTCAAAAATTTTGTGTATTGTTTTGATGTAAACAAATAAACTATAAAAATTTTTATATACAAATTTTTTTAAAAATATATTTTTAAATAATCAATTTTTGAAACTTAAAATAATTATTATAATATACCATATAAGTCACTGAATGTTATTTATAAGTATTTTATGAATAATACATAAAGTGTAATGTTTTATTATACAATAAAAATATAAATTTCTGTATACGGGTTGAATGTTGGAAAATACCTAAATATAATATTAACAATAAATAGAAAAATATTACAAAACTAATATTTTTCTTATTTAACGATTGACATAATTTATAATAAAAATTAATCTTATAGTCGATTTATTTTAAATTTTTAATTAAAATACAATACATATAAAATGGATGACATTTTAAATTATGTTTTAAATTATAGACTTGAAATGTTTTAGCAACTTTTACTTAAAACATGTATTAAAAGATTTGCTAACATTATATTTTTTTAAAATTCTAATAAATAAAATTCATATATTTAATGCCAAAAAATATCTAATGTGTTTCATAAATAAAACGTAAAACGAAATTTCAGTAAATAGTTGGTTTAAATTTTTATTTCTACATATCACTAATTTCATAATATGTAAAATTTGAGGTACTAAAAAATTTAGTATATATTATTATATATATAATTTATTATATATATATAATATATATTTAGATTTATTATATAAACATTTTAAGTTTACATTTTTACTTTAAACACATCAATTTGAGTGCAATTGATATTTGGCTCTGTATCATTGAACCGGTTAGAACCGGTTAGAAAATTGCTGTTTTCTGATTACTGTTTCAAAATCGTTTAAGTTGTTTGTTCTAAAGTATATCTTTATTATTATAAACGTTGTAACCACATCAGTAAATATACAGCCTAATGCTATCTGTATATGCCTTGATATTGGGTTGAGATGCGAACTCATATTATAAAACCTGCGACAGCTCCAATGTATGAAGTGGATAAATCCATTCTGCTACTAATTCAATAAAAATCGTGGTTGCAAAAAACACAACGTTTATTCCCGCAATCCGACAAGAAGTTTTTGATTTAAATCTAGTTTATGATAATTGTGCCAAAATTAGATAATAAACAAGAAGGTTTTTGATGATAGTCTTATACCTACCCATTTATATGGTATCTTCAAATTAAACAAAACTATTCCGTTGCTCTTTTTTAAGGAACTGAAATAAGACTGAATTGAAAAATGTCACTAATCCACTGCTAAAATTGGTGCCATCTCGTAATCATCAATAGCGCTCCCTAAGAGATCCACTTAAAGCTATTGGCCCATTGTGGAAATCCATAAACTTCATATAAATTTGTGGATTAATTCGACAATACCTATACGTGTTAGATAGACGTGATGGCCCAATGTCTCTAAGCTGAAACCAAAATATCGACGTAGACGCCAGTTTCTATCTAAATTATTTTTTACTTTTACAAGCGATACAATATTTTGCACCATTTCCAAATTATAATATGCACATTCCTCCTCCACTATACAAAAAAATTATAGTGATAATCAACTTGTTTGGTACTCAACTTGTATTCAACTCTCATATGAAAAGTATAAAATCGTTATATAAGTCTATATGAAATATATCCAGATTAATAATTTAAGGAACGTATAAGAAATAAATATTTGTATATTTTTTTTATAATTCTTATAATTTATTAAATTTTTATATAATTTTACAATCATAATATATATAATTCATTTGATTTGTATGGTTTATGTGTATTTATGTGTTTTTATATATTAGAATTATTTTTTAAAATTTTTATTTATCATTAATTTTCCTGCTTACTTATATTTAGTAAATAAAAAAAAATTAATAATGGATAATGTTTTTTATAAACTTCCCAAAAAGGATCAAAAGTTTAAAGGAAACTTAATTTGTTTACTACTTAAAAAGAAAGCATTATTAATTTTATAAATTATATATAAATTTAATTTAATTATAATCAAAAAAATGTTTAAGTAAAATATTAATTGGCGAAAACCTACCTAAATATTGAAGAAAAAAAAATTTAAATAATTATTGATAATAATAAATTTACAAAAAGAACGAATAATATGAATTAATCTTTTTTAAAACAATGCGAGCTATATATATATATATATTATATATATTCTATTTTATGTAATTTTATGGTTTCAATTATATGTTAAAATTCTTGACACTGAGTTATAAACATGCAATAATTTTTTTTTTTATTTTTTTTTGTAGTTTTACTTTAAATGTTAAAACGAGTGCACATAAATTCACATTTTTTATGATTATTGTAACTAATTGTATATTTTATATATATAGCATTCTTTATTTCTATCTTTTATTGCGTACAAATGGTGAATGAGTGGAAGAGTAATAATAATGCAAATAATTTATATTAATTAATATTTTTTCTAAAATTATTTTAAATAATATTGACCCTTACTGGCAAAAACTTTTTTTGTCAATACTATTTTTGAAAAACTGGTGGTGTATGTAAATAAATATAACAATAGCCTATTTACTAGACCCAACTTATAGTAGCCGAAGTACATTGATATTTACTATTAGTTAACAGCATCTCAATAATTCTACAATATATACGGTATTACTCTATACATTCAAATTAAAAAGCAATATCAAGACTTTTTTAGAACACATAAGCTATACAAGCAAGTAGTTAATATTTTTTAGAAAAATAATATTTTTTTATTTAAAATGATAGTATATGATTTAATTGTAAATACCACACACACATTATGGTGTGGCTGATAATTTCGACTCAAATAAAATTTAAAATAAACATTTAAAAGATTTTGAATTGGGCAATACTATATGCTTTACTTCTGAAGCAGTTGCATAATTGCTTAAATAAAGCTCGAAATGTTATATAAGTATGCATATCATTTCTTTTATTTCTAAATCAAGCGTTACTCTGAACCATTTAAACTTATTACTAATTTCACAATTATAATCAGTAGTATAATTAGATATTTCTACATGTTGAAAAGGAAATACATAAAAATTTTTTTTAAATTAATTTATGACTAATAAACGAAATATTAATAAAATAAAAATGTTTACAAATTTTAGAGACATAAAACCGAAAATATTTATGTTTTTTATAGTTTTATTACAAAATTAGCATACTTAAGTGAGGAAAATTTCAAACAATAATTATTGTACTATATTTATAATATATATGTATATTGTGGGATATTAAATGGTATTAGTAATTTTATAATATAATAATAAATATATTAATGTTTAATAATTATATAAAACATTGCATACATTATAATATAATGATAATTATATTATATTATATATAATATATTAATACTTATATTATAATGTATTTATTACAATTTTTTGTTACTAAATTATTCGATAATATTACAATTGTTTATTACAAAAAACTTTTTTTCTATTTCTATATTAATAGGTATTTTATTTATTATTGTTGCCTTATGCCACGATAAGGAGTTTAAGGAACAGTGATGATGATAATTACAATAATTATTGAAAAATATTATTATTATTAAAAAAGAATAATTGAAATTAATTTTGAAGTTCTATTCAGAGTTTTTAGGTGCATGTGATCTTCCATAAACTGTTGGGCAACAATGGTTGTTTTTTTACTGGCTTGTGGGATTATTTATGATATATTTGTACGCAATATTATTTGATTTTAAAAAAATATTTGTATATCTATTTGATTTAGCAATATTTAAAACTTTTAAGCAATTACTATTACTATCAATAATTTTTTCATTTACTTGTTTTTTGTTATTTGATTTGTGTACTAATATGCTTGCACGATGACTTCTTTAACATTAAAAATTTTCAAAATTTATATTTATGTATATTTATTGTGTTTATAATTTGTTTACTATTTTCTATTTTGTGTTCTTTTAAAAATGGTTTTTATGTTCATGTTGCAAATGTAAATGATGTAATAAATTTCCTGAATAAATTTTTTTTTATTTTTAGTTTTGTTTTTGTTTTTTGATAAATGTTATTGTTTTGCATGTCTGTACTATAAAGTTTATTGCTGCTAGAGGGGGGTTCTTTGTAAATTAAATCTTTAATTTAAAATCTTCTTTCATATATTTTAGTTTTTTTTTACTTAATTCTTCCAACAGCACTCAAGTAAAGTAGGCAACATACAATAAACTGAGCTTCAACAAAATATTTTTTTTTATTTGTGTGTAGAGTTGGAAGGACAAACAAAAACAGATATTTTTAATTACAATTAAATATAAATATATTTCGTATGCTCACTTTATATATATTTACTTTTTTTGTTTTTTTTTTTTTTTGTAATAGACTTTACACCTAAAATTTTAATTTACTGAGTAATTAATAAATGATTTTAATGTTTTTTTTATACTTGAATCAAAATGATTTTGAAAATGTACTTTGAAATTTTTTGCATATTGTTTCTGCTTTTGAGGTTGCTTAACGAACTTGCTGCTGTTTTGGCTGGAGCAACTGCTGCTACTACTGTTGTTCTTCTGCTGGTTGTTGTTGTTGTTGTTGTTGTTGTTACTTTACTGGCTGATGGCTAATCGATGAAACTTTGCTCCACACAGGCTTTCACTCGTTTCTCGTATTCACGACGATTTTCTTTATAAAGTTGTGCAGCTGTTGAATTAGCTGGCGAGTTTGGATTTGGATCACTCAACAGAGACTGAAATCAAAAAAAAAATATTATTATAAATTATATAAATCATAATATTATAAATTATATTATTATATAAATTATATTAATAGCTTCAACTTTTATTAAAAATAATTTTTTTTTAAATATAATTGTTAGCATCTTGAACACGAATTTGGTTTAAGTTGAAATATTGAATGAAATAAAAATTAGTGTAAAATAATATTATTAAGAAAATACGACACTATTAAATTAATACAAAATTACAAAATAATAATTTTGGTTGTAATAAAAAATAAATATTCATTAACGCTTATGTAAATTAATAGAAACAGTTTTTTTTAGTTTTCATACGCGGATTTATTTATATAGTTCATTCCTATATAAATTATAAATGATGAATTTAATGGTAAATATAAATTTATAACCTCTATGTAGTTTACTCTGCAGTACATGTTCTCTTGTCTATATTTTAGGTCATGTAATCTATACGGAATTTATTTTGCAGCATGTTAATTCCTGTATATAGATTAATTGTAATTCACAAAAAACGAGTAAAACCTTTTTCTTGTGTTGTGTCTCATCCACTTGAGGTAGCTAGGTTTCTTCGGCTAAACTCTGGTTAATTTCAATTATATCCACCCCCATTTCCTTTATTCCTTAAACTATAACCCTACCTATCTACTCCCTTACCCATGTATTCGTCTTGTATTCCTTACATGTTATCTGCTTTCAAATACTGACGGGCTAGAACAACAAGACCTGTTTCTAACACCACCGCCGCGAAGTTTGTGAAACTATATGCTACATATAACATATATTGCGTTACATTAGAAGACGTGTTTCTACAGCTTACGAGGAAGTGGTGTTCCTATTTTACAAGAGAAACTTTTATTACATCTCAGGAGAGTGTAACTACAACTCGAGTATATATAATCAAAAACACCACATCTAAGTCCGTCTCGAACATAAAGGTTCTTAACAACATAGAGTTAAAGCGGTACTATAAAATCCGTTACTACACCTTGAGCACACAGGTTCTTTGCACAAAGGAAGAAGATACTATAAAATCAAATACTCACATCTAAGTCCGTTACCGATTTCTATTGAGGTACATTATTTGTTATAAAAATTAATATTCAATTCCAAGTTTTTTTGCTATTTTATTTTTCAGTAAAATCAAAACCAGAAAAAAACTATTTAATCAGACTAGCAACCTACCGATTAGATAATCTTACTGTTATATTTTAAATGAAGAAGAAGAAATGCGCTTCATTTCTAATGATTTGTTTTATTTCTGATGATTTAATGATACATTTAATCAGCATGTATATAGCTCATACTCATACTCTGACGACCACTTTTAACGACGATATTGCAAGATACAAGGATAAAAAAGTTTAGGATATCGACCTGGAATATAAAATGAATGAATGCATATTAACTTTACCATTTATTTAATGGTTTCATTGCCATTGTTGTTGCTCTTGTGAATGTTTCTTATAGAAAAACCGTATAAGCAAAAAGTACAAAGAGGTTAGAATATATCACGTGGAAATAGAATAATTAATGTGGAATAAAGTAGAAAACAGTAGAAAGGACTAAGGGTGTCGATGAGTTCTTCTGTAGTGATTGTAATGATTTATCACAGGATGTCAATAGGTTGTTTGGACTACGTCTATCAAAATCAGTAAGCAAATAGTGATGTATTATCATTATGATGATATTGCATTGAAATATATTGAGTTAATCAAGGTTTCAATAATTACCAGGAGTACTGCTAGATATTAGGAATTGACTGAAAGAGGTTGCACTTTCGTTTTAAGAAGATAGTCTTATATAACAAAGTAAATAAGCAACATTTTCCTTTTCCTCTTCTAACTCACAGCTGCAACAGTAAATACTGGATGGAAATTGACTGCTGTGATTAATATGTAATGCATATTATCTGGGAAAATGACAGAAGACATAATCTATCTAAAGTTTAGCATAACAATTCATGCACTTCGAGCACTTCACTGATGCCAATGTAGAACTAAATTGGGTGCAGTTCTGATATCTCACGTAATCAAACAGTATTCTTAGTCACATTTTATGCCCGTATGGAGCTAAATATTTAGTGTTGAGAGTGCTTTTCGTAATCTCATAGTCCTTAACCTTATAACCTTGCTAACAATAGTAATCAGTTTCAAAAATATACTTTTAAGTGTCTACAAATATGCGATGGGTTGAATGGTAAGATTTGTATGCTACTATGATACTAAGGTACAATACAAGTATTGCCAACTTAAAACAAATTCTGATTAATAAAAAAAATAATGACCTTTTAAAAATAAAAATAATAAATTAATAATCGGCACAATGAAAGACCACCATTAAAGATGTTTTAAAGATGTTTTTTAAAATTATTTTTACAAATGTTTTAGGGTTGAAAGACATGGCACGCAGAGCTTCCAGAAACTATTATTAAATAAACAAATCCATCTTACAAAAAATATTATGAATCACGTTAAAGAAGATGATTCATTACCAGAATGATTTCAAAGTAGAGTTGGTGATTCAGTGTGCTATATTTATGTATGCCTAAGACATAACACAAAACAATTAATTACGCATATGCATCAGAAGATATTAAATTGAATATTTCTTTAAGATATATAAAGCTTATATAAGGAGTACAATTATTATTTACTAAATGAATTTTTATAACAAATAATATTATATTATGTTCTACATACTTGTATAGAAGTTAATATAGCAGAAACATCATATGTGGGACTCCACCGATTTTGTAAAATGTCCAAACATATTCCACCATCGGCATAAACATTTGGATGAAATACCTTAGATACAAATCTAACTGTTGGAGGCTTATTGGGATACTCTTCCGTAAATTCTATTGTTAATTTAAAGGTACCATCTTCGAATGGTGTATCATGTGGACCAAAAATCACAGCATTCCATATCATAATATTATTATCAGTTGGTGCGCCAGAAACTCCCGTTGGTGGATCTTCTTGTAGTCTATAGGAAGAGAAGTAAATATTTAATAAATTAATAAAATATAAAATAAATTTTTGAGAAATAAAAATTAAATAGTAAATACAAATACTAATTTCGAATTTTGAATTAAATTACATATAGAATTAATACTATTGAAAGTGCTCTTTAAATAATGCGTACTAATATTTAGGAAACTAATTGATATCATATATATAATGTTATAATCCCTGAAAGTATGAGTGGGTATGAGTAGCTCCTAGATGTAAACACGAACGCTTTAGTGTCTGATGCATTGGAATGACTAAGTTTCCTTGTCTCGAATCAATCTTTACCCAACCAATTCCCATCGCATGTATTTATGTTTATAATTACTTTAATGATTCCTGGTATATATTTTCATTAAATACAACAATCACAACATAAAAACAATGAATTTCAACAGATATCAGCTTTATATGCTAAAGCCATTTATGTATGAAATTTAATAAACATATTGGACTCTCTGCGAAGTTTAATCGAAAATAACAAATAATTAAGCAAATATTAAGAGAGACATGATCTCTTCCTTAAATTGCATGATACGAGATTTTGATATTCTTAGTGAGTAGTAAATCAAATTAATACTACATATATATTATATTCCTATATTACATATTTTTATGCTATAAAATTATTGATTACATGTAAGTTTCTTCTTCAGATTTCCTAAAATTTTTAAATTGTTAATAAAAAATTTTAAGAATGAAATATTTTTTATAAACAATCATAAAAATACTAAATTTTTAGAATTTTTCGGATCATTTAAATGTTTACTAAAGAGACTAACGTAAACGTAACACTTTTAACATGAAAAAGTACTGGACTTTGACTATAAAAATTTATATAAATAAATCAGTTTATAAACAAAATTACATGATTAAGAATAAATTAAAATAAAACATTTTCGCTCAAAGGTTGCTCAATGAAATTTCCGCAAAAAACTCATTATATTTTAATGATATTCACAAAGTTTACGAGAAAAAAATAAATATGCTCGCTCATAATGGGTTTAAGCTCTTTACACTTCAATGAGGAATGAATGAATTGTTTTAAATAAAGAAATAAAAAAGGAAATTAAAAATAAATGCAACTTCAATATACATATCTATGCATGTATTAATCTATTAAATAAAAGACCTTTTTAATAGGAAAACAATACAGTTCGATAATTTTAGATATGCAGAATATAAGCACTTGTATAGCAGTATGACCCAAGAAACGACACAACGATCAGTGAACAAAGAAACTTTGTTAATATAATATATTATTTCGAAAAAAAATTGTAATCGGAGATGTATAACAAACAGATTTTAACAAAATATAAAAGCCTTGACGTTATTATCACAAACATTTAAAATATCTGCAGATCCATTTTAGAGTCCCCTAAGATAATAATCTAACATACATATGTAACTAATAAAAATTATAATTTCCACGAAAGACATCTTCTATGTCAAAACTAAAAATGTAGAAATCTTTTATACATTTTTATATTTATTATTGACTATCTTATTATGTAAGTAGTTTAGTCAAAGGGAAAAAATATCAACAAAAGCAAATAACACCTTAGTTGCTTAAATAATTTCAGTAATTCCGAATAATGCAAATTTTAAGAGGCTCCGCAATATTCAAGGCATTGTAATAAAAATTATAATATTAACTTAAAATATTTTCATTACTATCAAAACCATATTTATATGTATCTATAAGACATACTTATTAGACATGTTGTTCAAAGCAAAACGATAATTACGATTATTTTGGTGCCTTGGATCAAGGAATATATCTCTTAAAAAATTCTCCACTGAAAATAAAAACCCTACAAATTAGTATACACTTCTTATTATTACTACTAATTACTACTTGTGAGATCGCCACAATCGGATTTTCGTCTGGGTGTCATTCATCATTGTCCAAAAAAAGTCAATCACACCGATGCAGGGAAAAAAAACGTGGACTTACAGAATCTAATTCGAGACCAAGATTGACTCACAACAAAGTTCACAATAGACCACGCCTAACGTCTCTCAGGAAGAACGGCGTCTCCCCGGTGCAGCAAAAACTGCCCTAGCTTTATTGAGATCAGAATATAAACAAGCGTTGAACAGTTACTATTCAAGAATAAACACGTCTATTTCTAACATGTACCCAAACCACAGCTTTACCCCCAAGATATCGTCAATCTGTTCTCTTGTCTCACTACACACACAACCTGCATCCATTCGACCATAGAACTCAAACCACCGGGTTGAGTTTAATTTAAATCCCATCCATATTCAGTTCACCCCTTCACTCTTATTCCCCTCCCCACCTTCAACCATCACCCATAGCAAAAACATAGTTAAAACAGCGTTAGTGAAAGAATTATTAATATTCTTTTTAATTTAAAAATAATTTGATTCACTTACATTTCAACATACTTTTCAAATTCAAACTAAATCTATACAAAACACAAAGCCGCGAAAAAGATAATGATCGGCTTATCAAAACCAATAATAGAATCGTTTTGAACATAAATTGGAAATACAGGACAATAACAAAAAACCCACAATAAACTATTTATACGATATAGCTGATAATATCAATCTAAATTTTTGAAATAATCAAATATTCTTTAGGTGAAATTAAATAGGTCAATTTCGAACATTTCGAAAACTTCTAAAATTAGATGACCTCGATTGATTATACTGTTCACATAAAGTAATTTGCAAAAAATATCTCATATTTTATTTATATATATAATTGTATTCATTTTAAAAAATATAGTAAGTAGATCCTAGATTAATTCGTAACATAAGTATCTGTATCTTGCTTGAAATTTCAATGAAACAAAATGTATTTTGCAAAAGTATATTTAGAGATTTTCTACATAAATTTTCAAGCTTGACAGCATTTTAATCCTTCCTTTTTAAATTATTCTTTATACTTTTAAGTTATGTTTCATTTTAATAATTTTTTAACGTATACATTTAAGTTGACGGCTGGTCGAGTTAATAAGCACAAGAAAATTGCGTACAGGAAAAAAAAGAAAACTTTGGAACAATAACGATGTTGTATCGAGTTGAGGACATAAGAGAATAAGCAGCAGCAATGCCATTGCAAAATATATGTTCACAAAAATTTGAACAAAAACGATGTTGTTTTGTGTACTATAGAAGTGAGTTATCCTATATCACCACATGCTTTTAAGTGAATAGTGAGAAATAGTAAACTACTTCTCACATCATTAAATATTAAGATAATTATTGATTTTCAATATAATAATGTTTTGTTAATTATGATAATGGAATGATTTTTAATAAGAATTTTTTCAAATGTCCGATTTAAATATTGAGAATAATTATTACTTGTATTTATTTAAAATTTGCAGGAACTGTCCAACAATATTTTTTCTACATACGAGTACAAACTGTAAAATATTTTTTGGCAGCAAAATTTCACTGTCACGAATTGCACGAAATAAAAATAAAAGAAAATATTTATGAAAAAATTTCTTCAAAACAATACAAAAATTTATGAACAAAAACAAGGAAAATATTTACGGAAATTAAAAATAAAAAAAAAAAATTAAAAATGTATACATTGAAGAGGATTTAACCCGTTGCTACATATACTTGTGTGAAAGATAAATATATTTGTGTATATTTATATGCTTATATACTAAAATAAAGTATTAAACAAATAGCAAATAGTAAATAGAAATATAAATGGTTAAATGACAGCTGATGAAAGCGTCTTTGTACCGAGAAACATGAACTTGCAAAATCATCAAAATGAAAAATGGCATAAATCAAAAAAAAAAAAGAGTGCCTATCAGAGCTAAAAATGTAAATGATCTCACTAACAACAATCAGTATAAAATTCTAGATCTGCTGAGCGCTACTATCAGAATGTAACATAAACAAAACAGTCATAGAGCAAAACACGGCTTAGTTTTACTAACAAAACAAACAGCTGATTTAGCAAAATTTTTCGCTTGTTTATCCTATAAAAGTAGACTGTGAGATTTCAGAAATAATGGCCCAAGCGATGACCTAATACTAATTTTATTTTTCATTTATAAAAGCGCAATTCATTTACTACACAATTTTTGAATAATAGCCAAAAGTGTTTGTCGTATTGTATTCGTTTCATTGTTTCATTGTAAATATGCATAATATATATGCGTCACATTGTCGGATACTCGTACATTATTCTAGCCTAACTGATTCAATAAAAAACGCGCAAATTTCTTGGGAACGTTTTGTGTGGGTGTCAGTTTATAGAGTTCAATGCACAAACACTATCAGGTGTATTATTTTATAAATATTTTCCATACATTGTTAATAACAATTATCACTACTTATATGACTCTTCCGCTCTATTGCTAATAAAATGCAACTTTTTATTAGTAAACAACGAGGAAAGGTTAAGAAACTGCATTTTTCTGTAAAATACACATTAATTAAAAATAATTAATTTACTCTTTATATTGTAGAAACAGTCGATGAGATGTTATATTGAAAGTTAGTTGATATAACTTAGCGAGTACAACATTAAATTACTATAATTCCGCAATGGAAATATATGCAATGACTGCTAGAGAAAGAAGGATTCATTTAGGCTATACCATTGGTTTCTAAACTTATTTATTGTATTTATAAATTTTGAAGAGGATTTCAGAAGTGTTAAATAGAGAATATGTTATTTAATTGATATTATACATAAAGTATATACATAAGATAAAATAATTATATACTGCTATTTGTAGTAGTTAATATAATTCAATTAGTCACAGGATACAATAGAAGCAGACCTCAATCTAGTAAAGATGGGTTACAAATGTGTCTCGATGTGAATACATAACTTTTCGACGCAAATATCTAGTTTCAGCCTACACGTGGCGCGACCTGAACAATGCATCAAAGGGTGAACGATACAGTATTCGGTAGCTATATGATGTAGCAAATAAAAGGGGAAGGTCAACTGCTTCAACGTATTTTGAAGTTGAAGTCAGTAAGTTTACATGGTAACAAGTCAGAATACTATGTTTTGGAGCCGGTGGCGCAAGAATCTCTAAAGGAGATTAACGGCACCAATCGTAACCTTAGAAGTAGGTTACTAACAAAAACAAAAGCATCTATTCATGTCTGGCCTAGAAGAAGATTGAGCGTAGGGTTTACAACCCAACCTCGAAAATCCATACTGTAATGAAACCACAGAAGCACTAGTCTACCCAGGACTGTCGTGCTAAGAAAGAAGAAGAATCTAATAAAGATACTAAATGAGGACTAATATTAAACATATACACATAACATACTATACAAAAAAACCTAAAAAGAGTGAACTGCAGAGGTGTGATTGAGTAAAGTAGATTCCAGTGAAGGCCCAGTATTGAATACGGGCTGACTTATGTTTTAGAAGTCGACTTATTGTGAAAATTGTGGAGCTTATTGCATAGGAATATAATTATTTTCAACCAGAAAACTATAACATCATTTTAACAAAAACTACTTAAAGCACTTATAGAAGATGTTGGATAGTTATTTAAGGAAGTAGGAAACTATAGTGTGAAGATGTTTCCACAATCTCGACAAAAATCATTATAGAGTAGACTCAGCCTCATAACATGTCTTGCTAGTACGCAAAAATCTGTCAGCAGCGATCCCGTAATGCTAAACAAATTTCACCTTAGTTGAAGCAGTTAACTGGTACTATTCTTGCACAGTAAATCTTGAAATCCAACTAGAATTTTTCAAACTATATTCAGATATTTTTTCTTAATTACCGGCTCAAACGATTTAAGTGCGGTACCAATGTTTAAGAAATTAATATCGAAGTTGAGTACCCTTGGCAAGCTCGTCTAATCTGCTGTTACCAAAGATGTACTGTGTCCATGTACTTATGTGATTTGAACATATTAATCACATAAGTACTAGCTAGCTAGTTAGTTAAAAGAACTATTAAGGATATAGCTAGCTGTAGTGTTCACCAACGATTTGACAGCAAATTAGGTGTCCGAGAAGAATAAGAATCCACAACAGACATTATATAATAATTTAAATGATATCCTTGTATAGTCTCAATTCAGTAGTCTCAGTTATAAATAAATGTAACACGAACATTAATTAAATGTAATAAGTAACAGTGCGATATATATTAGAAACGTCCAATTTTGAAAAGTACTCTTGAGCAATATGAGTGTAGTAGTAGTAAAAGTGTAGCTTCTAAGCTGTTGGAACTTGTAACAATAGTGTCTATACAGAGGGACATTTTCCAGATTGATCAAGGAAGTATTAACTACAAGAAGATGCCTGTAAAAAATCAAAATTTTAGTATCTTCTTGAAATTGTATTAGGTAATGTGTAAAATTATACAATAAATTGACCCATGTTATCACGCTTTGATAATTAGAAACAAATTGACCGAAGATTTATGGTTGCCTACATTTTATCTCAAGATGTTTTTAAGAAACTTTGATTTTTTTATATAGTTATAGATACATATAGTAATTACAAGTAACATATGCCGAACAATAGACATAAGCGATACAATATATGCATATACATATACATATATTGTGTATCATACGATAAACATAAACAGTACGATAAACATAAATGGTACGATAAACATATATGGTAGAGTAAACAGATGGAGTATACAGTACATATGGGTTATAATAAACAGAATTAAATATAACCTAAAAACAACGATTAAAAAATAATATAAAACAAGTACTTTGTTTATCCCAAGTGAAAGACTATTAGCGCAAAAAATACAATTATAAAATATGATTAAAATCTACTAGAATACTACAAGATATGAACCAAAAGATGTACTTAATGGATTGCATTAACCAAATAGATGTTATGACTAATAGTGTACTATTTTGCCTTTTGAAATTAAAAAAAAACTGTTTATAGTTTTAGAAAATGGAAAAGCTCAAACACAAAAGATTTGTTGGACAACGAAAAGAAATTATTGATGGTTAAGTCAGAGAAAATACTGTTATTACACTAATTATTTTTTATAAAATATAGATTAGCTATCTAAAGACTATTAAAAAGTGATTTCAATAGAAATACCTATATCGAACTTGTTACGCATTTCAAAAACATTTTATGACTGCTAACTTGAAGATAGAATTTGTATATTAAAATTTATTATCTGCTAATGCTGATATGGTACATTATGGTATGAAATTGAACATATTGAAAATCTTTAAAATAGACATATGACAAAGCGAAAGCGTGTTATATTCGAAAAAGATTTAGATTAGTCACTGGTGGCTGATGCAATGTTTATAACACTCAAGGGAAGTGTAATTATAAATTTTCACATACATTATTTAATTATAATAATATGTAAAAGACAAACAAAATTTAATTAACTACTTTTAATGTATTAAAAAACACAACTGCGTTAATATATAGAGAGGTAGATAATTTTTTGTTTATAAAAATATTCATTTAATATGTTATAATAACTTTTTCGTAAAGAAGTGGAAAAAACCAATACTAACTACAATCAATAATTTCAAAGGAGCGGACAATTCTATATTATAGGGCCACTTTTCATTCATTTAGGATACTATAATAAATTTTTCGTAAAGAAATAAAAAAAAACCAATATTAACTACAAACAATAATTTCCTAGGAGCGGACAATTCTATATTCTAGAGCCACTTCTCTGTTCAGACGAGCCAATAATGCTTATCCTTCCCATCAGGACCACGGAATTGTATTTTTAGCCTACTATTAAAAAACGCAACTGTGTTAATATATAAGAAGGTAGATAATTTTTTTTATAAAAATATTTGTTTAAGATATTATAATTGCTTTTTATAAAGAAGTGAAAAAAACTAATACTAACTACAATCAATAATTTCCTAGAAGCGGACAATTCTATATTCTAGAGCCACTTCTCTGTACAGACGAGCCAATAATGCTTATCCTTCCCATCAGGACCACGGAATTGTATTTTTAGCCTACTATTAAAAAACGCAACTGTGTTAATATATAAGAAGGTAGATAATTTTTTTTATAAAAATATTTGTTTAAGATATTATAATTGCTTTTTATAAAGAAGTGAAAAAAACTAATACTAACTACAATCAATAATTTCCTAGAAGCGGACAATTCTATATTCTAGAGCCACTTCTCTGTACAGACGAGCCAATAATGCTTATCCTTCCCATCAGGACCACGGAATTGTATTTTTAGCCTACTATTAAAAAACGCAACTGTGTTAATATATAAGAAGGTAGATAATTTTTTTTATAAATATATTTGTTTAAGATATTATAATTGCTTTTTATAAAGAAGTGAAAAAAACTAATACTAACTACAATCAATAATTTTGTAGGAGCGGACAATTCTATATTCTAGAGCCACTTCTCTGTACAGACGAGCAAATAATGCTTACTCTTTCCATCAGGATCACGAAGTCATTTATCTGGGTTACAACAACAACAAAACTAAAATTTATATGTCCAACAAAGCCATATTTATACGTCACAAACAACGAAGACACATTATTATATATTGAAGCTGAGATTAGTAGTTTTTTTTCTTTGGCTCAGGGGTTATGTTTTTAGCTGAAACCTTTTTTTTTTGTAACAAAGAAGAGAAACAGTCATTGCTATTTCTCTACTATTACTAATTATGACCACATGCTCCAAGCTTAATTTTTCTTTTTGCACTTTAATATCTTCAAAATAGTAATGGAAGACCTGTCAGTAATTAAATCGCGCTTAATCATGTTTTTCGCAAGGCCTTAGGGCACTTGACCTTATGACTGGCAATAAAAACTGTTTATCTGACTGTTATGAAAAAAAATTTTCATTTCTTGCTATTTATTTGTTTAGTTGATATAAAACGAATGCAACAACTTTTTGGGCTTAAAATCCTTGATAATTATATTAGATTTCCTTGAACGCAAGCCATTTAACCAGTTAAGGTGAGTTGAAATATAACAGATTCAAGGTCAGAAAATAATATTAATGCGTTGCTATGACATTAAACGTAGTCAATAATTTATTGGAATAGCAAGGATTTATTCCCAAGTTTTTGTATAATTTCAACATATTTTGCAATAAATACATATATATCGCCCGTTTTCTTCAAAACCTTTTGTGTAATAAAAGCAAAAATAACGCAATGTTTTTTTTTCTTTTTCTTTTTTTATGAACTATAGACATGAAGTCTGTAAAGTGGTAAAGCACTTAAGTGCCTGTGTATAGGTAGTTTCACTACGTAATCAATATTTTCTTATTTTATTTTCTGCAATACAATTTCTACAATCAATTCCACACATAAAATTTGGTTTATATTTTCTATTAAACAAAAAGTAAAGCGCACTGTTGAAATTTTTTAAATTACACGTAATATTTGCCAGAATATTCTTTTGAAGAAAAAATTTTTTTTGTGTAGCATTTTTGCGTTATAATTTTCTTACCTTTTAAAATCTCTCATAAGGCGTCTGCGAGCGGGTGTTGACATATTTAACTAAAATTTTTTTTTAGCGTTAACAAATTAACAATTTGATTTCTTTTCAATTTAGGCAGTAGGAAAATTTTTTATTGCACGATTTCTCTTATTTCCTTCCGTCCTTAAATTTTAATATTCCTCGTCTGCCTGCTTCTTCTACGTTTCACTTCCACCTTTATACACCAACTAATTTTTTACAGTTTAAAACTTCCAAATAAACGTGTATAGTACACACTGGCAAGAATAGCACAACTATATTTGCAACCACAGTTATACATGCACTAAAATAGAACAAAACTATGAAAATTATTTTTGCACAATAGGAAATCTATTTGATTGAATTAATAATTAATAAACCATATTATAATTTATTTTTCTTACTTTAATTCGATAGCAATGCTTTTGCATTCAATTTCGTTACAAACAATTTTTTAATTATTTGTATTTCACTAATGTATGTGCAAATTACGCTGCCTATGCTTCTCAGATATATATCAAATACTTTTGATTCGCAAATAATGTATTTCTTTTTTTATCTTTTATTTTAAATAACTTCCCAGTATATAAGCTCCTAATAACGAAAACTAATTTAATTACGACTTTTAAACCAACTTTTCGTGTTGGCGATATTCAACCAGCTGCACAACACAACAATGAACTGGGCGAAAATTTTTCTTTTAAAAAGCAAAAAGACTGAAATGGCAATATTAAGCTTATGAAAAATCATGTGTTTTTAAAGATTATTAAGCGTAACACTGAAAAAAAAATTGCAAATAAAAAATTTAAAAAATTTGTTTGCAACACTAATTAGCGTAAATATCAGAATTAAAATAATATTTATGATAATATGCGACATAAAAATTAATTAATATAAATTTACAAAAAAAATCCATTAAAAATAAAATAAATAAAACCTGTGTATTGCAAAAGCCGTGATATATTTCAAAAATGTCAGTAAAATATATATGAAAAGCAGATAATTTGAGTTTTGTGTGCCAAAATATTTTTATTTATGCTGTAAAGTATACGAAATATATTAATTGTAACTTCAATTAAGTTTCACAATTATTAAAAAAAAATTTCCAAACTAAATATCAATTATATTTACTAGTTGTTTTAAAAAAATAGAAGCCAACTTTATAATTTTCATACTCAAATAAATCAGAAATTTTTGTCAAATTAAGTATTTACATTAGTACGTAACTACATACGTAACTACGTACGTAACTACGAAATAAATAAACAAAAACGAATATAAAATATAATAATTTCAGTGAAGTATTATACAAAAATAAAGATAAAATGCTAGTTTTAATATCCATCTAAGAAATTTATAACTTTTTTAAGAATATCAAAAAAATTTAATATCTACTAAGTTTTAGTTTTTAAAAACAATTTTTAAGGCCAGCGAAAATGGGGTGACTGTAGTATTCCGAATATATCATTGCAAATGCATATTTTATAAACTTTGTGGAAAGATTTATAAAAATATTTAAATCTTATTTCGTTGATTTAATACAAATATGGGCGATGAAATGGTTTTGAGTATCGAAGCACTAATCCGAACCAGTTCAAGAACTGAATCGATTACAGACGTAATACAAATATGCCATAATATGTGTTTGTTTGCTATGTACACAAACGAATTTATTGAAATTTTATGCCTTATAATATTAATAATATTATTACATTATTAATATTATTATTAATAATAATAATCTTAAAAAGCTTCTTTAAATGCCAGAAATGTCGTCAAGAGCAGCTACTAATAGATTTTTGTCAAATTGCAAATTTTTTTATCAATAAGTCTATAAATTTTTCCCCAATAGCCAGAAAGCATCAAAAGCGACAAATGTGAGACTTGAACACACTAAAACCAGATCTTAGAAATGCAAAATTGATAAATTTTGGCTATAAAGACCGTAAAGGTCAAAAAGTGAAACCCATTTCCAGTTATCAAGGGAAATGTAGCTGTTAGGTACTATCATAATTAACTCAAGAATTGTGCACGAATCAATTATATTTTTTTTATACAAAATTCATAAAAAAAATATACCAAAGACATGGAATTGAAAACTTTACATTAATTATAATAGGTGTTTTCAGCAGCTCGCAAAAAAACAGCAATTGGTTCGCTTAAAGTTGTTAATATCTATGAAAAATAACAACACTACTTTCTCTATCTAAACATCTGTTGTGAAGTTGCGAAACATTTAAGCAACTACAGAAAAATATGTTATCAACGCAATAAGTGAACTATTATGAACCTTTATTAGAAATTTCAACGAATATTCCACTCATGTCTCAAGAGTTTTTAACAAAAATTCAAACAAATTTAAGTTTCATAAATTTAAACATTGTGGAAATAAATTTTTTTAAAAATATGTAAAATTGGAAAAATAAATATTCTAAATATATAAGTATAAATAAATACAAAAATTTTTAGAAGTACGTGAAGAGAGTATAATTGATAAGTTAATACTTATAAGGAATAAGAATAAATATTCTAAACTACCATATTTTAAATTTTATTGTAAAACGAAATTTCAAAATTTTCTGCATTCTAAACATTGCTTTATTAATTTTTTTTATTCAAGATGTAATTTGCTTGCATCATATGCACATATGCAAGATTTATTTTTTACGAAAACATAACATTTGGCAGATTGCAACAGTGATAAGATATTTGTATCATTGTTGCAATCTTAACGCATAGAGTAAGCAATATGCTGTTTTTTGCCACACTTAAAAGCAACCGAAAGCATCTGTTGTTTTGGTTTTTAACTTTAAAAAAGTTGGTTGGATTGTTTTGAAGTGCAACCATGAGGTGAATAAATATCATAAGTTGTCTATTCGATTTAAGAACAAGACATTCTTACCCACACTACGTAATTTATCAACACAACGTAAGACAATGGAACTGTGTAAAATGAAGAGAAACCAAGGAATGACATGAAAAGGAATAACGTAAAGCATTAACGTATAGAAACATTTAAAATTGTAAAAATATTTTTAATTACACAGAAATCATAAAACATCAAATTATTATATTACAAATGTAAATAAGCTATAAAAGTAAAATTGTTAAAAATAAAAAATTAAAGTATTTCATTTGTTGTGTCGGATTTTTGCTTGTTTTGATAAGGAAGACATTTTTTTTTGTTAATTTTGTGCTTAAAAAAGATTTGTAATTCCGTTTAAAACATTAACTGCATTAGCTGAGCTAATCTCTAAGCAACTAAACAAGGTAATACCTTATTTCGTTATATGTATGAATAAGGTATGAGTATCCTATTAATCGCGAGTGTAATAACTTTAATTAAAATGACAGGATTCATTAATGTCATATATGAATTCACAGAACCAATCACCAAACCAATCATAACATAAATTCATTTTTGCTTTCATATCCAAGCTTGTGACATATTATAATAAATTGTATGTTCTTTATAAGTATTCCTTTTAATCACCTCTAAGTCATATAACTTATGAGAGAGAGAGAGTCTTTAACCGATCTTTGGTACTCAACATGAGGCATTTTATTTATTTTGTTTATACGTTGCTTGATTTTTAAAAACTTGATATATTGACAGTCTGTCTCAACAGAAGTTCAGATTGGATTAACTCATTACATACAATTAAGAGTATGCGATTCATTCAAAACTACTTAGCAGATCAGATAATACGAATAAACGTCAAAACAAACTTCTTTCCGAGAACTCCCTTTACCCAACCATTTCGTAATCCATGTATTTGTATTTTTAGTTCCATTTATTTGTGAGACAACCCTTTAGCATTCTTCGGAATAACATTTACTCCAATAAATAATATATGAACGATTTTATATATAATATAAAATAGATAAAACAGTTTTCCTACATCGTTTATTTCAATAAAATTTAATTTTATACATATTTATTTTGACATAAATATTTATTTCAATAAAAAAATTGACACAAAATTTATAAAAAAATATTCTATTTTTATGGCAATATGTATAAAGTTTTGCCATATGTGCATAAAAGTATTTAAGGTCACTTTATTAATTTTACTAAATTTTATTTTAACAAATCTAATTGGTAAAAAGTTTAATGCATAAAAATAATGCACATTTGCACAAATTATTAACCTAAAGGACGGAATGTTTGACTATAAGTCTAGAAATATTATTCGATTGCGATATAAAACATATATGAAACTATATAAATATATAGATACATAAATATGTATGCACAAGCAATATATATCTATAAATACATATGAATGTACACATAATATATTATTAAAGACAAATATAACTATTTTTATACATACATATTAATTTTTCTATAAAATTTAAAGCAAAAAATGCTTTTCGGAATGTTGATTTAGATATGCGATTCTTTTCATAACTTAAATCTAAATATTTTATGCTGCATTTCAATACGCATAAATGTAATATATATACACATATATATGTATATAAATTTCCTAAAGTTCAAGGCATTAGAAGCTCAATATTCGGATTTTGTAGTATCAGGAATATTTGATATTGTGAAAACACACAGAGCCAACAATAGATCTGCAACGAAAAAATTTTTAAGTTTCAAATATTTTAAATTTGTAAGATTTTATTACATTGTAGGCCATCCAACAAAAATTCAACAATGCTGAAAGTGTTTGCTCCAGCTGAAAGCATATATTTTTATGTATTAATAAACAAAACAAATTTTAACTGAATTCAACCTACATATATATAGTAGCCACCAATAAGCCAAAGACCAAATACAAATTGGAAAAGTATACCAATTCCTGCTAATATCAACCAAGGTAACAGCCAACCACGGGTGCTGTAAAAATAATTCAATTAAATTTAGATTTAACTTAACTTTTTACTACAAAATACTAACCAAATCTTTATGCCAAAATAAACTAAATAAGAGGCTAATATAAGCAGTATGAAATATAATATAAAAATGCCACCAAATAAGGGCATGGAGTATCTTTTATCCGTTTCAAATAGTGGCGAGTAGAGTTGCGCTGATTCACCACCACACAGCATATATGTAATCTATAAAAAATAAATATATTACAATTTTATTAAATTATATTTAATTTGATTTCGTTCAAAACTTGCCAATGTGATGAGCACAACTGATAACGCTGCTGTGTAAAAAGCTACTGCTTTGCTGCCCGTTTTAACAGAATTTGACCATATGAATGGTGACCAGCAAGAACTTAGTACCACCATTTTTTCTAAAAAATTTAAATCTAGATTATTTTATAATCACATTACATTAAATTTCATCAAAAAGAACACAATTAAATAAATTGATTCACATTGAAGTAATTTACACTTGGGTGCGACTCGTCTTGTTAATTAATACTTGCAGCATCACAAGTGTCCACGCCCAAGTTTCTTATTAGGTGAGAACTGCACTCATTATAATTTTGCTTGTACATTAACAAATTAAATATATTTTTATTACCGTTTTATTTATTCCTCTTTAGATTTGTAATAAATCAAATTTAAATATATATTAATTTAATTAAATTAATTAATTAATCACATAAATTAAAAACATCAACAAACCAGCTCTCAGCAAATGCCAACGAATAAGAATTGACAAACTGTCAAAAAATGATTCTGAAGGCACATGACAGGGGTGTTACAAAATGTATAATGTGTGCATAAAATTTGTCAGACTCGATTTGTCAGATCGTAAG